AAGCACTCCAGTATAGGTTGACCCAACCACTAAATTAGAGCCTCAGTTGACTGCTACCATCAATTTATAGCAAATTCAGTAAGGACTATATGGGGTAAAAATCATGCTCATTGCCATGAAAGAACATGTGGACAAGATCAGGGAGGTCACTAAACAAACAGCTACAAATGTAGCTAAGCTTAGGATGGAAATGAGAGCCACAAAGAGGCAAGGGATCAGGGCATTCAACTCCATGACAGAGAAGATGGACAAACTCACCAAATAAGTTGAAACGTCATATGACTCTTTCTGCACCAAAGTAATCAATACCCTGAAATACTTTCTCGGGATGAACTAAGGCCTATGTGTGTGTGTGTGTGTTTAAAATAATTTCTTCGTACTATTTTTTGTTTGCTTTTGCCTTGGTCTGTAAGAACCATCACTATGTGCCTCAACTGAAGGCATAATATCTGCTACCCTAATTGTTATGTTCATTATCTGATTACATATTTCTTTCTGCCTGTACTTTCTTCCTTCTTTTTGATTGATGTCAAAGGGGAAGAAACATTAGAGTAAAGCAAAGCAGAGTAACAACTGAGGAGGGGGGAGCAATAGTGGCATGTGTCATCAAAATTCAAGTGTGTGTACAAAATCAGGGGGAGCCCTCACATAAAAGGGAAGTGTGCTCTGTTTTCTCTTTTTGATTGTCATCATAAAAAATGGGAGATTGTTATACCTATATTTCAATGATGACAATAGTGCAAATCTAATCTAATCTACTTGATTGCAGGAAATCACGATGACAATGCTAAATTAGAGGGAGCCAAAGGAAATCAAGATGTCAATGCTATAAAAAGGAAACAAGATTAAGTGTAGCTGTTATGGGAAGCCAGTTCATAATTCAAGGATAAGTTTGGTAAAAGAAATCGGAAGATTCTGGTGATTGATCAATCAAGTCAAGTCGCAAATCACTCCCTTAGTCAGAAATGCGGAAAGGAAGTAGATTATTGAATACAACCCATCTCTTGAGCAGGATTCAGAGGCAACCCTTGGGTCAAAACTCTTAGAATATTATTGCCTCAATCAATGGTGTAATGGTTTGCTCAAAAAGAAAATTGCAAGATCTCAAGACTCTCATATAAGAAGACTGAAAGTCAGAAGGAAAAGTTATGCAACTTACCATTGTTTCTATACCTTTCTAGTTCTTAGTACAAACACTATATTCATGAGTTTACAAGTGTCACAAAAAATAGGAAGAGTTATAAAATAAAACAAGAGTTGTCTCAAGTTTAGACAAACATTGTTGCTGAAAATCATTGGTGGTGAACGATCCAAAACCACTACTGTTGTAATGAAGAAGATCTAAGAGAACCTTTCTGACCCAAGAAAACTGGATGTAGGTACCACACCGGTACTGAACCGATATAAAATTCCAGTGTCTTTACTTTTTAAATCTACGCCACTCACTTCTGTTGCAAATCAAACCTGCTGAAAAAGTTTATTCGACTGACTCCTCTTTAAGTCGACTAAGTTTTTAATTTGGCTACAATTCACCCCTCCCCCTCCCCTCTTGTACTTTCATATTGTAGTAGGTAATTTTTCTTATTTTCAAAATTTCAAATTCCACACTTAAAAAGAGATTTAGATATAAATATCCTTTGAATAACCGATGGTATAAAAAATTATATACACTAACTGTTTATATTAGTTAACTCTTTTGAAAATAAGATAGACTACATGCTACAGTATGTAAAAGTGATATAAGGGTACACAATTTTATTACACTAAGGTTGTACATTACTTAAACTCAATTTTATAAACCGAATGAAAAGAGAAGACACCCATTTCCCCATCATTTACCCTCAGTTTCTCCTCCTCGGGTAATGATTCTTTTCGCGGGCCTTTAATTTGTATCTTTAAGAGAATCAAAAGGATTCCCAATTCACATTGTTTTGAACTTCTAGCCATATTCTAAAAAGCCTCAACAATTCCATCTCTTATTTGTATGTTTAAGAGAATCAAAAGGATTCCCAATTCACATTGTTTTGTACTTCTAGCCAGATTCTGCTAAGCCTCAGCAATTCCATCTCTTATTTGTATCTTTAATTTGTATCTTTAAAAGAATCAAAAGGATTCCAAGTTCACATTGTTTTGTACTTCTAGCCATATTCTGCAAAGCCTCAACAATTCCATCTCTTATCCCTTTTCATTCCTTTTGTAGTTATAGATGCATCATATATTTCTCATGCTCACACGGGAACTCATTAACATTTTCGTACATATCTTTGAGAAAAGGACCACGAAATTGGTTCTGTTCTTCCCGAATACGAAATAAACAACGCATTTGACAGCAATTCAAGTTGTGAAAGAAGAAGAGGAAGAAACTGGCGATAGAAGTATGGGAATTCACAAAGTAATGACAACTATAGTACTCCAGAATATGACCATTTCATGGATTCACGTTTCTTATTGTTTAAATTGATTCCTTGTCTTTTCCCCTAGACTAAGACGAAATAATTTGTTATCTTCGAGTAAATTTCATGGGTGGTTATTCAACTTTGTGTTCATTACCCAAAAGTTAATTTTTTTTTCTTTTGTTACGTAAAAGTCATTCAACTTTATGTTCATTATCCAAAAATTATTTTTCTTTCTTTTGTGACACAAATATTATTTTACTATGCTCTAGTTATTACAATAATCATTTTGACCAGATTTTACAAATTATTCACCTGAAAAGTCTATTATGCCCTTGACATTACAAATCATCACATTTGTGTAATATCTTCTATATTATATACTATATAATATACTTTTACCCAGGTATTTTACTTATAATTAAAATAACTTTATATTATTTTATTTATTATTTTTATAATATATTTGTACATTTAATTTTTTTCTTAACGTTAATTTTTAAGATACATAAGTAGCATGATTAAATTTGTCAGTAATATTACCGTGAACAAAACTCAAGTCCATGTTCTTAACCAAGCTTAATAAAATATTTTTAATAAAAATTGTAAAATTAAAGTTTACTGATTTATCAGCCAAGCCATACTCATTAATCCAATAAATAAAATAATCACATTTAGCATAATGACACATCTGATTAATACTTTCAAATAAATAATATTAACATATAAAGCTTTAAAAATCTTAATATTAAACACAAATATCTTTGAATTATTTTTAAAAATCATTATTGACTATAAAAAACTATCATTTGTTAAACAAATCTGTTTGTTATTATTTCAAATAAATATTAAAAAATAATTTATTTTATTATTTTTATATTTAAAATATGTTCATGTTTAAATATGATTAAACAAAGTGAGTGCCATGAAAATATTAAATGTATGAATATATTATAAAAATAATAAATAAAATAATTTAAAGTTATTTTAATTATAAGTGAAATACCTAAGTAAAAATATATTATGTAGTATATCATATAGAAGGTATCACATAAATGAGAAGATTTATAATGTCAAGGGCATAATAGACTTTTCAAGTAAAAGTATTATAAAATCTGGCCAATATGACTTTTGTGATAAATAGAGCAAATTAAAGTAAAATAATTTTTATGTAACAAAAGAAAGAAAAATGACTTTTAGGTAATGAACACAGTTGAATGATTTTTACGTAACAAAAAGATGAAAAATGACTTTTGCGTAATGAACACAAAGTTGAATGACCACCCATAAAATTTACTCTGATATGTTTTTCAATATATGCACGTATATAATTTAGTGTTTTCCCAGCACAGGAAACACTGTCTTTGTAGTAATTAAAGAACTGAGCTGTTTTTGCTTATGAATTAGCATTCAAAGGATGCCAATAAAAAATTAGATAATGTCAAAGGTTTACAAGCAACAAAATTAGAATCTCGATCAACAAACTTTTCGTCAATTTGTAAAGTATTTCAGTAAAAAGGTTTCTAGGAATTGGGTATACGACGATAGGTCATGACTTTTTTAACCTGCCTAAATTATTTGAGATAGAGTTATCTAATAGTTATGCTAATGAAAATAATAAATATTTGGTGAAATAGATTATCTAAAGCATTATCTTTATAAAAAGGTTAATTTTCAAGTTCTAATGGCAAATATACTGTTTAGAAACTGCTTCCAAAGGTAAAAGACCCCATGGAATCCTAACCGTTAAGTTCGATCTCACTAGCTAGAACAGAAATCTTGTTAGTTTCAATGTGTATAAACAATATAGATGACAGATATTTTTGTTGACGAAATATTATATGTTGTTAAAGTGTCACACGTCGATTGACACGATTGTAATTGCCTCTTTAAATGATCTTCAATGAGTTAGTTTTTAAAGTTGTTATATGCATTGTCTATTTATTTAACATGATAGCAATGTTAGTTTGCCCAATATCTAGGGCCCGTTTGGTCTTAAAAAAAGTTTCATATCTTTTGAATTTTTTTTACTTTTTTCGGAATTAGTTTTGTCCATGAAAATTTCAAATTTCACTTGAAGTTGAATTTTGGAATTTTTCAGAAATTTGAAAAACTCCAAAATGCTATTATTCAAAATTTTCACTTCAAATCACTCACAAAAATTCAAAAACAGTTCCAAATTGTATTTAGGTCCAAACACAACTCTAATATTCAAATACCATTTTTACTTGAAAAACATTTCACTTTTTTTCGGAATTTTATAATTCTTATGTTCAAACGCCCACTAGATCTCCAAGCTATGTTATTCTTATTCTAGAATCTAGATGTTTAGGCCTTAGCAAGTGAAAAACATATTTAAGCGTCACAAATTGATGGAGAAAATGAATATTGTTATGTCTTTACATTATTTTGGACAACTCTCATAAGTTAATTTTTGAGTTGTGTTCGAAGTTCTACTTTAACATACGCAAAACAAACCAAAGATCAAATCAATATATTATAGTGAGATAGCTAATAAAATGGAGTAATACTAGCTCTACCAAACTGACTTTAACATTCTAGATGCCTCTTAACGTTATATAAGTAGTCATTTCTTTCTTGTTATAACACCTTTGAGACCTGCAATTCTGTAGACCCCTTACCCATACCCCACGACAACTTTAACTACTCCATAAAGCTACTTACTATACCCTTTTGGAGAGCCAATCACACCTCTCTCTCTCTCTCTCTCTCTCACACACACACACAAAAAAAAAAAATTGTATGTAGAAGTAAGGTTGTTTAGAGTTTGAATGGAGAATCAGTTGGGTCTTCTGAGAATCCGTATCCTTAGAGGCATAAATTTGGCCATTAGAGACTTCAGAAGCAGCGATCCTTATGTTGTTGTTAGGATGGGCAGACAGGTAAATTTGATTCTAACTTTTCCAAAGTACCCTTCTTTAATTTGGCCATTTTGAAAATCGCGTATTCCATACGCTGACCATGTACTAACAGTGAGATAATTTCATACTAATATCTTCTTGCAACGCTCAAAAGTTGTAATTATTTTCATGGTTTTGTTAATCACACCAAAGTTATGTAATTTTCAGGATTTCCATTCTGACGAGAAAACCAAAGTAGCTTATTTTATCTTATCTCTATGTGTGTGCGTGCGTATGTGTCATTGTTGACCATTTTTCAGTCTGTACGAATGCCAATGATGAAGGCGGAAATGTATTGACTAAATGGAGTTTCAAATGGTGTTAACTATCTTGTTATGTTAAGCTTGTGTTTATTATTGGAGCAGAAATTGAGGACTAGAGTGGTGAAGAAGAATGTCAATCCCGAATGGAATGATGACTTGACACTATGTATTGCTGAGCCAATTCTGCCAATCAAGCTGGTAATTTCCTTCATTTTGTTGTCTTCTGTTTGATCAAGAAATTATACAGCTTATTGCATACTTTGCTTTACCTAGAGGAGATTAAAGAATAGCACACGCCAACAAAGCAGAAAATATCACGCTTACTGTTTCAATTCAGTCTTTGAAGGCAGCTTAATATTGGAGTACAAACAACAACAACAGCTTAAAATTAGAGTAAATGTTTTCTTAGACATGCTCAGTGTCCTGCATAACTTTTAAACTTTTGTAGCACTTTATTGGTGCTTCTTGATTAACAAAAGAAAATTCAGTCTTTGAAGGTTAAACTATGCCTTTTAATTTCATCTAGATTTACTGCATATTCTTCTAAGTTCCGTCCAAGAATCTGATGAAGATGAAATTCTAGGGGCAATGGATAACAATTGAATTTNATATATATCAGTACTAAAATTAACTATAAAAGAGATAAATGCAAGTCAAATGGATCAATTAGCTTTGGCCCTTGAGTTTGGTCACCCTTGAAACAAGTAAGGAATCAACTGATGTAAGAACAGAGTAACAAGATAATCAAGCTTTTAAAGAGGGTAATGTGTTGTTTTTAATTTCCTCAGAATGTGCTCTATAAATGATCAAACCCTTCTTTATATAGTGGGAAAGTCCTACTTTATTTATAATTCTAAATATAGAAGGAATTCCATGATAGATTAATTAATTGGCTTTTTCTTGATATGCGTCGAGATTGCCGCCGAGATTCTCGCCCTAATTACGGATATACCGGCTTTATTATTTTCTGGTTCGGTCTTGATCTTGGCCGATCATGCACTTGATCGGTCTCTATTTTGCTCGGTCTCAATCTTGGCTGATCTCGACCGGTCTCTATTCTGCTCGGTCTCAATCTTGGCCGATCTCGACCGATCTCTATTCTGCTCAGTCTTAGTCTTGACCGATCTTGATCTTGGTCAGTCTCTGGGTCACGAGCTCGGCAACCTAACTTCGCATCATAGCTCGATATTACACGAAGTTGAACCTTGATCTATCGTGGTCCAGGCTCGATTAGTCATATGAATGGCAAGTCCGGTTTTGACCGTATACAAATAGTCCCCTCGTTTCTCGGAAAGAAGATAGCGAGAAACGATATGAATTTCCGAACTCTGACTTGATGGGTAATGACGTCAGCGATGAGCCCGATTATGACGTATGTGATGAAACATCCCGTTAGTCCAGTTACCAAGGCATTAAATACCTGTCAGTTGTTGGTCGGTCATTACCGATTCCGAACTGTCACCAGCCACCTATAAGAGCCCAATCGTTTCTCATTCAAACTTTACACTCAAAGCTTCTTCTCTATTCTTGCATCTTCTTTAGAAAAATCCCTTTGCTTCATAATTTTTAGACCCAAATTTCTAGAACTCCAATTAAACCGCATATCATCCTAATTCTCTCTTTTCTTGTTCATCAATGGCGAAAACCTCCAAAACAGTGCCGCAAAAAGAAACCGCTTCTTCACCACGACATGCCGGTGGTGAGGATGCGGCGGAGCTCCACCCTGAGGAATTCATTCCGGTAGGGTGCTCTACCGTCGTCGACTTTAAGGTCGAAAAAGCCTCCTCGATAGCGAGACGATGTGAGCCGATCTCGAGGTACATGTGTTCAATCACCGAGAAAATCCTCGACAAAGTGAAAAAGGAATGCAACTGGCGCGAAAGGCATGTGGTGATCCCATCCCCTGAAGAGCCGATTACTACCCATGTGGAGGGGTTCTTAGGTGTTTACACTTACCCCTTCACGTTGGGTCCCTTAGACCCCGTCATTGTCGCCTTCTGCAAGAGATACGACGTGACCCTAGGCCAGATCCATCCTTCATTTTGGAGAATAGTGATTCTCCTCCGATTCTTCTCGAGCAAAATTGAGGGGTGTCTTTTCACCCTCGATCACCTTATGCGCCTCTACAGTCCCCGACTCTATCGAGGAAGGCTAATCAAGCTTACTCACCGAGCTACCAAAGCACCATTCTCGAGCATAGACGAGACTCGTGACCGATGTTGGATGGGCCGTTTTGTTCGAATCAAGACTTCGTACCTGATCCCTGTCGAGGACATGTCGTTTCCTGAGAAATGGAATATCAATCGTGAGTAGTATTCCCTTTTCAATTTTGTGGCTGTGCTTTTCATTTTCTTTATCCACTTTTTTCTATGTTGTTATAGTTGTGGCCCAGATGTCGGAACCGATTCTGGAACGTAAGCAATGGGTTGAAGGTCTTGTGTTGTAGAGTCCATACTCCGAGCGTTCTTGGATGGAATTGTCAAAGGATCGATGGGAGGCCCGTAGTCATGGTAAGTTTCTTTCTTAGAACGGTTATCATTTGATCTTCTTCTCTGGCTTATTCCCCCATTTTCCTTTGTAGGCCTCGGGAAGAGCGTTGCCATGAGGCCCCTATCTGGTGACGAAGAAGTCCCTGCTCAGAATCATGCCAAAGAGAAGAAGAGAAAAGAGGCTCTGAGTTCCCCGGTCTCGAAAAAGAAAAAACCGGCGAGGAAGTCTCGCAAGCCCAAGGGGGGCTCCGGTATTATGCCTTCGGATTTGATCCGTCGATTAAGGGGCAAGCCCGAAGAAGGAAAAGAGGAAGTATCCTGTGTACGGGCTAATGTTCTGATACAAAAATCCTCCGAATCGGCGGAGGTTGGTGAGGGAACTCTGGCGATAATTCCTGAACCAGAAGAAGTTGAGGCCACTCCATCTCGAGCAGAGATGATCGAAGGAGAGACCGGGGGCGAGGCTTCTCGAGCAGTGGCAGATGTCTCGGGGGACGAGCTCAGGATGGTTGATATTTCTGGATCCTCTCAAATTTCGGATGCTATGATCCGTGAGGCCAACATGTTGGAAAGTCGATCATACGAGGGTATTCACGGGAGGACCGATATCCATGGTTTTTTGGATGGGCACGAGTCTGCTGCCTCGAAGGATATTACCGGGTTTAGTGGATTACCGGTACCAAGTAAAGTATCATGGTCGGTAGTGTCGGGTCTTCATCGAGCCCTGGTGGAACGATTCCCGGCCTCGAGTGTTAACCCCGATCGTAGGCGGAAGATAGTGCTTTCCGTCCCGAAGGATGCCTGAGTTTTCTCTCCCCCTATGGGGATTGCTAGTTATCTTAGATCCTTGGTGATCGAGGAGGATCAAGCTGTGATGAACGCGGTAGAAGCCGCATGCCTTTTCAACAAGGCCCAACATGCTCCAAATCAGGTAATTTCGAGGGTACCTCTATTGTTTCTTTTATACTTAGAGTTGTAGATAATTCTAACATCTTCTCCCTGGTTTACAGGCTTTGGTGTTGCATCATGAGGCTTTCCTCCGAATCCGGGAGGAGCATGAAGCTGAGGTTCGAAACCTCACCGAGAAGAGTGACACCTACAAGCTTCTTAGTGAGAAGCTTCAGACAGATTTGGTAACAGATCGGGATGAGCACGCCGAGATGGCTGAGCAGGTATTTCAAGTGATTCACGATAGTGAAGATGAATTGGGGATAACTACTAATGATCCGATTCTACAGGTCCGATAGAGGGTCGAACATTTTGGCCTAAAAAAAGGAGATCGTCCAAGCTCAATTGGAGTCGGCCAAGGTCCAGCTTCAAGCTGCAAAAGAGAAGGCCTCGGTGCAGGTTGATAAGATCAAGGAGCTTCAGTATCGGTTGGATTTGGCCGTTTTTGATAAGGCAAGCTTGACCGATGAACTTGAAGTGGCCAGATCCGAGGCGACCGTATCTAGGTCTGAGTTAGCCGTGGCCAACAAAAGAGCTGATGTTAAAGTAGCCCAGTTTAGGGATGATGTCAAAGTCAACCAGGCCAAGGGCATGGTTGAACATGCGAAGTGGCGGGCTCGAAGGGAATCCCTCGAGGGGCCTCAGGCCCAGGGCTTCGATATCATGTCTGAGATCGAAAAGGCTAAAGCAGAGGAAGCTAGGGCCCGGAATCTGGCCTTCCCTGAGGAAGACTTCCGAGAGTTCGAGTGAATCTGAAGATGGAGAAGATCCCGAGGATGGGAGTGCGACCTCCGATGAAAACCAAGCCTCTTAGGACTTTTTCTTTTGTATTTTTCCCGAGGCCATTTTTTGGCCGTTGTAAATTTAGGCCGATTTGGCCTTTGTAAAAAACTATTGTGTTTAAATATAAGGCTTTTCTTTTCCCTTTCTTCTTTCGTATTTTTCCTTTACTTTATTTGTATTTACAAAGGTTGGAAATGCCTTAGCATAAAATAATAAAGTTGTGTTCGAAGGTTCGAACAAACCTTGCCTTTATTTCCTTTCTGGGTTAAGGCGTCATTGGGATTCGATGTTACCAAAGTTTTTCCTGGAAAACATCTTAAGTTTGAGATTTTTGCCGAGGGTAGCCCTTAGAACCGGTTGTGAAAGAATTTTTTATTTTTTTTGAAGGCCTATTTTTGTAGTGGATTTCGGATGTCTTCGAGCCGTGTTCAATTGGCCGTAGACTTTTAATTCGGGAGCCACCCATTAGGCTTGTTTTCCCGTTTTATCTGGGCTTGCCCGAGATAATAGTTCCCAAGTGGGGTAACCGTGATTTTTAGAAATCGGGGCGTTGCCTATAAGGTCTTTTGCTCCCGAGGCCCGATGACTCAGGCTATTTTGAGTCGGATGGCAGTCCCCAAATTAGGGAGAGATTGTTCGTATTTCGGTTAAGTATTGCCCTTGGGCTTGTTTTTGTATTCGGAAGTACGAAGCTCTTTGTAAAGAGAGAAGATAAATAAGAAAAGATTTTTAAAGCATAAGATGTTTGTAAGGAACATACTTCTCTTTATTCTCGATCGAAACATGGTTCGAGTAATCTGTATGGGCACGGTTCGATTCGACCGTTTGACCCTTACAATAAATCCTATCTATCGAGATCCTCCCTTTACGAAGTAGTTTCCTTTCTGGAGTTTATATTTGAAGATAACACATATCCGAGGGTGGCCCCAGTATTCGAGGTTGATTGCAAAGGAACCTTGGATAATGTCGAATGGATCTCCGATGTCGATTCATAATCGGGCTTGATTCTAAGTTAGCACGATTCATCGTTGCCTTATTAAAAACTTTGCCGAAAAAACCCATTTGGGACAAAATTCGATCTGAGAGAAAAAGAGTGCAACACGTGCTTTCAGACCTAAAGACTTCGTGTCGTTTGCTAAAAAATCCATCGTCGTTTCTTGTCGACCACTTGCAAGCGTTAATCTGAAAATAGAAAAGAAAATGGAAAAAAGGGCGTACCTCAGCAGTAGTACCGCTTTAGGTGAGATATGTTCCAATTGCTAGGCAGTTGCTCCTCATTCATCGTACCGAGCTTGTAGGACCCTTTCCAAGTGACTCTGAAAATTTGGTATGGTCCTTCCCAATTCGGACTTAATTTTCCTTCATTGGGATTCCGGGTGTTAAGGGTGACTTTTCTCAGCACTAAGTCCCCAATGTTAAAATATCAAAGGTTGGCTCTTCGATTGTAGTATCTCTCGATCCGTTGCTTTTGGACGGCTAGCTGGATGAGGGCTGTTTCGTGCCTTTCATCCAATAGTTCTACGCTTGTGTTCATTGCCTCGTCATTTGATTCCTTTGTTGCGTATCAAGACCGGATACTTGGCTCTCCGACTTCGACCGGTATTAGATCTTCAGAGCCATAAACTAATGAAAATGGGGTAGCTGCGGTACTGGACTTCGAGGTTGTGCGGTATGCCCAGAGAATTTCAGGTAGAATTTCTTTCCACTTTCCTTTAGCGTCAGTTAGCCTCTTCTTAAGATTTCGGATGATGGTTTTGTTGGTCGATTCGGCTTGCCCGTTTTCACTGGGATGATTAGGTGTTGATATGATTCTTTTAATCTTGTAATCTTCGAGAAATTTGGTTACTTTGTTGCCGATAAACTATTTTCCGTTATCACACACAATTTCGGACGGCAATCCAAATCGACATATGATGTGATCCCAAATGAAGTCGATAACTTCTTTCTTCTAACTTTCTCGAAGGCCCGTGCTTCAAACCATTTAGAAAAATAGTCAGTCATAAATAAAATAAATTGAGCTTTAGCTGGTGCCCGTGGAAGAGGGCTAACAATGTCCATTCCCCACTTTATAAATGGCCATGGTGACAAGACCGAATAGAGTGGTTCCCTGGGTTGGTGAATCATTGGTGCATGCCTTTGGCATTTGTCACATTTTCGAACAAACTCTTTTGCGTCTTTTTCCATGCTGATCCAGTAATAACCGGCTCTGATTACCTTCCGAATCAATGATTCGGCACCGGAGTGATTCCCGCAAGTGCCCTTGTGAACTTCTCTCAGAACATACTCGGTGTCTCTTGGTCCTAGACATATTGCTAATGGACCATAGGACATTCTTCTGAACAAGGTTCCATCTTCGGACATGGTGAATCGTGTTGTCTTTGTGCGCAGGGCCCTCGATTCTTTCGGATATGGCGGAAGCTTTTCGGTTTTCAAATATTCTATGTATTTATTTCTCCAATCCCAGGTCAAGCTGGTGGAATTTATCTCGGCGTGGCCTTCTTCGACTACTGACCTCATGAGTTACACGACGGCCCCCGAATCGAGCTCGTTGTCTTCGATCGATGATCCTAAGTTTGCGAGGGCATCAACCTCATTATACTGATCTCGAGATACATGTTGCAAAGTCCACTCCTTAAACCGGTGCAAAGTTCCCTGCAACTTATCTAGGTATCTTTGCATTCGGTCTTTCCTAACTTCAAAGGTTCCGTTAACCTGATTCACTACGATGAGGGAGTCGCATTTGGCTTCGATCACCTCCGCTCCCAAGCTTTTGGCTAGTTCGAGACATTCAATCATGGCCTCATATTCGGCCTCATTGTTAGTCAATTTTACAGTTTTAACAGATTGTCTAACCACATTACATATGGGTGGTTTTAGTACGATGTCGAGCCCGGACCCTTTCGCGTTCGAAGCACCGTCCATGAAGAGGATCCATATTCCCGAGGACGTACCCGAATTTATCAACAGTTCTCTTTCGACCTCGGGTACTAAGGCCGACGTGAAGTCAGCTACGAAATCTGCCAAACTTTGAGACTTAGTTGCTGTTCGGGGTCGATATTCAATATCATACCCGCTGATTTCTATGGCCCATTTGGCCAACCGTCCAGAAAGCTCGGGTTTGTGCAAAATATTTCGAAGTGGATAAGTTGTTACAATACATATGGTGAAAGTATGGTTTTTTATTTCCTAGAGGCGCTTATTAAAGCGAGCGCCAATTTTTCTAGGATGGGATATCTAGTTTCGGCCTCACCTAAGGTCCGACTGACATAATAAATGGGAAATTGTGTACCTCGTTCTTCTCGGACTAGGACTCCATTTACCGCCACCTCCGATACTGCCAAATATAAGTTAAGTTGTTCGTTTGCCCTTAGCGTGTGAAGTAGCGGCGGGCTCGATAAGTACCGTTTAAGCACTTCCAAGGCTTGCTGGTATTTCAAGGTCCATATGAAATTATTTTTCTTTTTTAGCAACAAGAAAAATCGGTGGCCTTTATCGGAGGACCTCGAGATGAGTCTCCCCAGGGCGGTCATGCGCCTGGTTAACCTCTGCAAGACCTTTATGCTGTCTACCACCATGATGCCATCGATAACTTTGATCTTATCGAAATTTATCTCGATTCCTCGGTTGGATACCATGAACCCGAGAAATTTGAGTGACCCGACCCCGAATGCGCTTTTTTCGGGTTCAGCTTCATGTTGTATTTCTTAAATTTACTGAGAGTTTCCTGCAAGTACTTTAAATGGTCCTCTGCTTGCAGGGACTTAACTAGCATGTCATCAATGTAAACTTCCATAGATTTCCCTATTTGTTCTACGAACATTCGATTTACTAGGCGTTGATAAATAGCACCAGCATTTTTTAATCGAAATGGCATTACATTGTAGCAGTAGGTACCATATTTAGTGATGAACGAAGTCTTTTCCTGATCATCTGGGTTCATTTATATTTGGTTGTACCCGGAATAGGCATCGAGAAAACTGAGGATCTCGTGGCCGGCCGTGGCATCGATCATTCGATCGATATTAGGCAAAGGAAAAGAATTCTTGGGGCATGCTTTATTTAGATCCTTGTAATCTACACACATTCTAAATTTGTTTCCTTTTTTAGGGACTACTATCACGTTTGCTAACTATTTGGGGTATTTTACCTCACGGGTGGACCCTATTTTAAGAAGCTTGGTTACCTCATCTTTGACAAAAGCATGTTTAACCTCGGACTGGGGTCTTTCTTTTTTCTTCACCGGATGGAACTTCGGATCGAAGCTTAGTTTATGGGTGGTGATTTTTGGAGGGATCCCTATCATGTCAAGATGGAACCAAGCGAAACAATCTATGTTAGCTATAAGAAATTGAATAAGCTTTTTTCTGAGCTCGGATTTAACCTCGTGCCTAGGTATACCTTTCGTTCGGGCAGATATTCGATTAGTATGATTTGCTCCAGCTCTTCGACAGTTGATTTGGTAGCGTTAGAATCATCAAGGACTATGAAAGATCGAGGGACCTATAATAATCATCTTCATCAGTCCCCTGCTTCTCTAGTTGGGTCGAGGCCAGCATTTGTGATTGCTATTTGGTCTCCTGTTTTCCCTTCGAATTTGACCCCTTTATCGATGAGGGTGTTGATATCGGAATTACTTCGTCAATGGCAAAATTTCTTTTGCAGCATGTTGCTTCCCGTAGACCATTTTAATTCCCAATATGTTGGGAATTTCAGGACCTGGTGAAGAGCCGAGGGCACTGCTCTCATGTTGTGGATCCATGGTCTCCCGAACAGGGCGTTATACCTCATGTCGCCCTCGATCACATGGAACTTCATCTCTTGGATGGTCCGGCCACGTTTACTAGCAAAGTTGTCTTGCCCTTAGTATTTTCACATGCCATGTTGAATCCGTTTAGCACTAGGGCCGCGAGCACGACCTGGTCCTGTAAACCGAGTTGCTTTACGACCCTCGATCGAATGATATTGGCGGAACTACCTGAATCAATTAACACACGCTTAACTTGAGTCTTTTTCATGAGTACAGATATTACCAGTGCATCATTATGTTGCCACATGATTCCTTCTTCGTCATTGAAGGATAAGGTTCCTTTCGGTATGTAATGCTGAGCCCGAGATCACTTCTCCTTTGTGATAGGTACCTTAGTGCATTTCAACACTAGCCCTTGGGGAACATCGATTCCTCCAATAATCATGTGAATAATGTGTTGCAGTTCTTCTTGCTCGTTTTGTCGGTTGAACTCTCTATTTTTTAAGTGATTCTTGGCCCGATCACTTAAGAACTCCCGAAGGTGCCCTTCATTGAATAACCGGGCTACTTCTTCTCTCAGCTGCCTGCAATCTTTAGTTCTGTGGCCATGGGTACCATGATACTTGCATACTTGATTAGGATTTCTGTGGGCTGGATCGGTCTGCTGAGATCAAGGCCATTTAGTATCTTTGATGCATCTGATAGCTGATACGATGGCGGATGCATCCATATTGAAGCTATATTCTGATAATCGTGGTGCTTCCTTAGGTCCGGTATGCATGTCAAAATCATTCTTGCTCATCAGCCCTCGAGAGCCTTGGCCTCGGTCACTTCTCCTTTCACTTCGTACGGAGTTGTGCCCAGGTCTGTTGCCCCTACGATATCTATTATACGGCTGGTATCGCTCCCTCTTCAACTTTGGTTCTCGATCGACATCCCTTTTGATAATGGATCCAGAAGGAGCCCTTATCTGGTCGTCTTCGACTCTAATCTTTGATTGATATCGATTATGTATATCGGCCCAGGTAACAGCCGGGTACTCAATCAAGTTCTGCTTCAATTGTTGTGAAGCCACTGAGCTCTGTTCATTTAGTCTTTGGGTGAAAGCTTGAACGACCTAATTTTCGGTGATCGGTGGTAGATCCATTCGTTCTATTTGGAAATGAGATACAAACTCTCTGAGCATCTCGTTATCGTTCTGCTTTACCTTGAAAAGGTCCGACTTCCTAGTCTTGACCTTTATGGCTCCGACGTGTGCTTTTACAAAAAAATATGCAAGCATGTCAAAAGAATCGATAGAGTTAGGTGGTAAATTATGATACCATATCATTGTTTCCTTTGATAGGGTTTCCCCGAATTTCTTTAGTAACACGGATCCGATCTCGTCATCCTCTAGATCATTTTCTTTAATGACACACGTGTAAGAGGTGACATGCTCGTTGGGGTCAGTCGTTCCATTATACTTAGGAATCTCGGGCATGCAGAACTTCTTGGGGATCGGTTTGGGAGCCGCGCTCGGGGGGAAGGGCTTATGTACGAACTTTTTGGAATCCAAACCCTTCAATATTGGTGGTGCCCCCGGGATCTGATCAACCTTGGAGTTATAAGTTTTCACTTTCTTGTCGTTTGTTTCGATCATCTTTTCTCCTGACTCTACCCGCTTTGTCAGTTCCTCGAGCATTTTTATAATTTCGGGGTTAGGCCCCGATTCTTGTTCATTTGACCTTAGCACAGTTGGCCCCGTTCTGTGGGTGACTTCTTGGGGTGGACCAGGCTCGGCCCTACTCGGTGCCTGGGTTTGGCTCTGCAACTGAGTTATCGCCACCTGTTGGGCTTGCAGCATTTCGAAGATCATACGCAGGCTGATCCCGTCTTCCCCAATATTTTGGGTATTTCGAACCGCAGATCGGGTTCCACTATGGATGCTGTTTTCGGGACCGGAATGTTGGTTCGCTTCGATGTCCACATGCGAATTAACGTCAATCGGATCCATGGCCCGAGTCCTAACGGGGTCAGCGGGTGCCCTCTCATCCCCGGGCGTCACGTTGTTATTCTTACCTTGATGACCAGATTCGTTGTCGATATATAGGGGCATTAATTGAGAGTTCGTCATTTTTAGCCTGAAATCAAAGATACTTCCAAGAGCAAGTGTAAAATAGTGTGTTTCACAGAGATTTGTATCAAATAACCACTATTATCCTTAGCCCCACGGTGGGCGCCAAACTGTTTACCCGAAAAATAGATAACAATTGAATTTGTACGCAGCTCTAAGGATACGTGATTTAACTTGGTACAAACCGAGAAATTATATATATATATATATATATATATATATATATATAATTAACTATAAAAGAGATAAATGCAAACCAAATTGATCAATTAGCTTTGGCCCTTGAGTTCGGTCATCCTTGAAACAAGTAAGGATTCAGCTGGTGTAAGAACAGAGTAACAAGATAATCAAGCTTTTAAAGAAGGTAATGTGTTGTTTTTATTGCCTCAGAATGTGCTCTACAAATGATCAAAAGTAATGTGTTGTTTTTATTGCCTCAGAATGTGCTCTACAAATGATCAAAAATCTCTTTATATAGTGGGGAAAGTCCTACTTTGTTTATAATTCTAAATACAGAAAGAATTTCATGATAGATTAATTAATTGGCTTTTCCTTAGAATTTCATGATAGATTAATTAATTGGCTTTTCCTTGATATGCGCCGGGATTTTCGCCGAGATTCTCACCCCAATTACGGATATACCGGCTTTTTATTTTCTGGTTCAGTCTTGATCTTGGCCGATCATGCACTTGCTCGGTCTCAATCTTGGCAGATCTCGACCGGTCTTTATTCTGCTCGGTCTCAATCTTGGCTGATCTCAACCGGCCTCTATTCTGCTCGGTCTCAATCTTGGCCGATCTCGACCGGTCTCTATTCTACTCGGTCTCAGTCTTGACCGATCTTGATCTTGGTCGGTATCTGGGTCACGAGGTCGGCAACCTAACTTCGCATCATAGCTCGATATTACACGAAGTTGAAACTTGATCTATCATGTTCCAGCCTCGATTAGTCATATGAAGGGCAAGTCCGATTTTAACCGTATACAAATAACTTCTTTATCCGTGCTCCATTGAGTGAAAAAATAGTTGAAACTGTCATTTGCAAAATGCATTAGGAGCAAACCTTGTTCAAGTTTCAAACTTTTAAAGATCTTAGCAATTAACAGTTTAAAGTGCTAGCCGACCTCTACAATTTCAGTAGCTTGGATCCAATTAATTAGCTTATGGATTTATTTCAATCACACAAACCCAAAGTGATCCTTATTGCCTTTATAACCCTGTCATTGCAGATAGTCTACGACAAAGATACATTCTCTCGCGATGATAAAATGGGCGATGCAGAACTTGATATTGTACCATTTATAAATGCAGCAAGGACGAAGCGCGTTAAGAACATCCCCAATGGAACCATAATTGCCAAAATAATTCCGAACAGGCAGAATTGCTATTCTGAAGAAAGCTGTATTGCTTCTGAAAATGGCAAGGTTGTCCAAAATGTGTTTCTTAGGTTGAGAAATGTTGAGTGTGGTGAAATAGAGCTGCGTTTGCAATGGATAGACATTCCTGGTTCCAAGTGTCTGTAGGTAGCTACTTCCATCCCAACTATTGTGGACACCAATGTACACTATGCTTGCTGGTTTTCAAAAAATTTAGTGGCCTTGTAAAAAAAAGCTAGATGAAATTGTCTATATGAATATTGACATTCAACTAAATGGAGCTTGTCCTTTTTTATCCCTTGCTGCTTACATGCTGACAAATTTGTCTGATATAGTTGCACTTTTTAGACCTGATTGGATCTAGGAAACATAAATTACATTAACATAGGCGAGTGTAGAATATGGATTCAAACTGACTGTGATTATGTTCTTGTATACATTTCATTTTTTTATTTTTATTTTTCAAATGCATACATAGTTCGAATAAAAAACAATAGGTTTATTTGAATAGAATTGGAGGATTTCGATAGGTGCCACAATGCAATACAAGAGGCGAAGGCTTTACTCCATTTGCAAGAAGTTCTATAACAATCTTAAATGGCATTAAATACAAAAGCTGGTGACAGATATTCAAATCCTTTTATTTTAGTAGGATGTTTCGAAAAATTTGCAATTTGTTAAGCATGTAATCCGTGGACTAGAGTTTCTACATTTTATATTTCAAACAACTATCCACCCCAAATTGAATATATCCGATGAGGAATTTTTTTTTAAAAATATGATAGCGTGTGTTTTGTGTATATATATGTATGTAACTTATATACATATACTATACTCACACGCAGTGGCGGAGGTAGGATTTTCGCGAAGAGAGTTAAAAAAAAAATTAAAAAGATTGTAGCTAGTGGTATTGAACAAATGACCTTACAAAGGTTTTGAACCCCCTTAACTAGGGGTGTCAATGGATATCTAAAAACCGACTAAACTGACCGAACCGTACCGTACCGAAGCGATTTTTAGGCTTCTTTTAATAAAACCGTAGGTTTTTATATAAATATATAACCGTACCGATAATTAGGGTATGTTTTTTATTTTACAAAAATAAACCGAAAAATTATTGAACCGTACCGAATAAATTTACATGTGAAAAATATATCTATATATTAAGTTTTAAAATAATAAAATATTAATTTTTTCCTTGGGCGTTGGAATTATGAAAACAGTTACAAGCCACAAGTAATTAAACTCAAAATCCTAATTCTCAAACCTATTATGCTACTCCTATTGAAACTAAATTATTACCAGCATATTCACTAGTAAGATACAAGGTATTCTAGCGATTATGAGTAGCAGACTGCAATATGTTGAATATGTTTCCTTTCATATGATTTAGATTTATCTTTTTGAATATTAATCTTCTATAAACTTTATTCTTGAGTCCCAACTTGGTTAATATCTTTTTACCCATGTAATGTATATATAATTTTTTGTATTTGCTTAATTTCTTTTACAATGTTGTAGAATAGTTGATGGATCTATACTCTGGTCATCTTTCATATTTTCTTAATTTATCACTTTTTAAACAGTAAAAATATTTAGAGAGTTTTGCTAAATCCTCTAAAAGTACGTGTTTGATTGCATTCTACTTTTAATAGTGACTTTTATATGACATTTAAAAAAAATATCAAAAATTAACCGAACCGTACCGAAGCTGGCATGATTGAGACGGTTTCGAAAAATCTAATTTTGGTTATACATAATAGAATAACCGAAAAATTGGTATTGTACACAATTTATAAAATAACCGGCCGAACCGAATCATTGACACCCCTACCCTTAACCACTAAACTATGCTTTTGGGTTGTGTCAAGGGAATTCAAAACATAATATATAAAGGTAAAACACAGATTTTGTTATATATACAGTGTAATTATTCGGCGAAGGGGGTTCGGTTGAACCCCTTCCGCCCCCCTAAGCGGATTTACAAATAACAATTGGGTGCTCGAGCACCCATTAACGTCGACTCGAAGTATGTTTAGTTATATAGAGAATTTAATCAAAAATATATATTATCGATAGGTGCCATTAATGCTTTATTGTTAAAAAAACATAAATTGTACGTTTAGTTATATTATCGAGCAAAGCATTTGTTTAACCCAAAAAATAATTTTCAAGGTTAAAATAATAAATTTTATATGACGGGCCACAAGCAACCGATTTGATCCGAAAGATTTAAATTTTCGTTAATACAACGTGATAGAGAAGTGAAAAATAAATTCAATCACAGATAATATAAAAATAAAGCAGAGAAGAAATAGTTCTTATTGAATGATCCTTGGTAGGATGGTGAGCTGAACAGAGCTTGAAAGGCCTAACTATGACTAACTTGGGAGCAAGATGCAATAAATTACAATGTATAGAATTGTAGTGAAGAAAATTAGATTCTCCTCATTGTGATAAAAGTGTGTCTATTTATAGGGCTAAATCTAAGTAACCATTCTCCTTGAATTACGGGTCCATTATGAGCATTTACTCAATCCATCTGTTACTTTGGAAGACTTGTAACAGCCGTGTAAATGCTGAAATTCCGTAACGGATGAGTTAATTCCATAAATGATGAGTTAATTCCGTAAATGATGAGTCAATCTCATGCCTTTTGAGTCAATCTCATGCATGTTGAGTCAATCCCGTACCTATTGAGTCAATCTCATAATTCATTGCCTTGTTATGACCGCTACAATTATTTATTGCATTTATTGTACGTTACATAATTGATTTATAACTGATGGCGTAATGATGATAAATCCCATATAATCCGGGATTAATCGATTCTTTCCTTATTTGTAAATATGAACTATTCTCCCGTACCTGATCCGGGCTATTATGTGATGATCAATTCTGAGATTAACAGGTACGGTACGAGTATGTTCGGTCCCGAGGGTGTTTCACATATCACCTTTACATGTCATTCTTCACCTTTCTCATAACTTTGTTAACACGTATCGCCATTTAATAGATCCATGTGGCGGGTTTATTTTTCACTAATACAGATATTCCCCCACTTTTCGGTTACTCACTATGATGTGATCGTGAAGTGGAGGATTTTATCTTTTTCACTCTTGCCTCTGTCTCATTAAAAATCTTGTCGGAAAAAACCTAATAGGGACAAAAATCAGGCGAAGGGAAAAAGAGTCTAGAGCTTAGGGATTCAGATGACAACTTCGCCACTTATTTTCCTTTTGTCAATGATCGGTTGGTGCTGAAAAGTACTACTACCACAGAAAGCTTGATCTCGGATTTTTAGTGTTCATCCGGAACTTTTAATCTTTGAGTTTTAACTCTTGGGTTTTTAGTTTTACCTGAAAGATTTATAACCTCACATCTTTAGAGACCCAGGATGTTAATGACAGGGAATTTTTTACTTCTGATTTTGATAAAGTCCAGAAATTTAATACATCCAGTTAACTTTACGATCGAAAAACAAAGCATCCGATCATTAGCCATTTGATTGGATGATTTTAGAAGACGAGTACTATGGGTACTAATCTGGAGAGTGTCTTTCCACGTCTTCCAAAGAAATGATTTGACAATGGGAGAAAAGAGCTTTCCGAGGATAGTCAGAGTAATCCCCGAAACAATTCCCAGCCTACTCAGTTTCGTCTCCAAGCTAGATGATATTTTCATTATCATGGCGGATGATAGAGAGAGTTCTCTGATTTGTGAAATATATAAGTATTACAAATTTAAGTACTGTAATCACATTTATCTAGATTTCATTTGGTACTTTAGGGAATTTATACGACTACTAATTTTTCTTAGCACTTTAAGTATTTATTTGAGTGCTCATATTTAGTCTTATAGACTTGAAATATATATGTCACGCCCCGAACCTGGGGGAGAGACCGGCACCCGGTGCCTTACCTATCCTTGCGTACCAACTTGTGACTAAGGGACTCTGAACACATAATGTCATACCTTGACCATGGGCCACATTGCAAGACAATTGCAAATGCTGACTAAACATCAATATAATGCTGGACCAACAAAGTCGTCATAACTACTACAGCTGGAAAACCAACAAAATATACATAAAAGGCCTACTAGTCCAAAATACTGCACTAACTGACAGGATATGTCTACAAGTCTCTACTGATGGATATACTATGATTAGAACAGGGCCCCGACCTACTCATATCATATATATATATATACACAAGATGTACATAAAGCTCTAGACCCGGCAACTCCGAAAGGTATGGAGCTTACCGATCAAGTTGAACTCGGGCAACACCTAATAAGGAGGTCTACCCGTCTGTCTGTCTGAACCTGCATGCATGAAATGCAGTGCCCCCAGAAAAGAGACGTTAGTACGAAATAATGTACCGAGTATGTAAGGCAATATACTGAAAACTAAAACTGAACTGATAATATAATAACTGAAAGATAATCTGAAGATATGCTCATCTGCTGATACTGATTCAACTCTCTCACTATAGTAAGTAAAATAGTTGTCCGGCCTTATAAGGCTCGATATATATAACTGTTCTGCCGTAGTAGGCTCACTAATAGGCACTCGACCATACTAGGCTCTGTATCTCAGCCAACTGGGCTCGCTCATAGGCGCTCGGCCGCAGTANGAACTTCTCTTTATGCCTCGTTATCAAACACATGTAATTACGAGATCATGCCAACATGAAGGAATGGCTTAGCTTTAACATACCTGAGCCAGTTCTCTTGACAATTCCTCTAATACACGTCAATTACGACAATATGTAATCGGCAAGATCGGAGTAGGGAAGAATCCGTATGATATTTCTGAGAAAGATCGTATCGTACTCCCTTAGAATTAAAATCTCACGTTGTGATAACATTAGGCAGACTTCATATGAAATCTTTGAATCAATTTCGTTGCCATTTATACATTAGTTTCGCTGAAGCTTTAAGAATGAGAATTCCATCCGTTAGCTAACTTGGCATCCAATTTGCTGGTCTAATTCTAAAGTGGCAAGCATGCCATAACTCATCATCCAAATCAAGTTATATTACCACTAAACTCCAAGTTATGCCATAATGTCGCTGGTCTAATTTTCCAAGTTATATTACCACTAAAGAAACCAAAATCCAAGGAACATTTCACATGTAAACACGGCATGTTGTGTATTATGACTCATCATTTATATTGGTGCCACTCTGGCTTAGCTTAATTCCAAGTGGCAGCCCTAACAAGGATCTTTATCCACTTATTTTCTTAATTAACTAGTTAATTCCCCACTAATCTAATAATTAACTAATTATCC